CCGTGACAACATGCAACTTAGTAATGTGCAATATCTCCACCAGAGCAAGCAGAATGGGAGCTTCAGGGAAGAAGGGTATGGTGCATTCAGGAAGAGAACGACATGCTGCCAAGGGAAAGGAAAATGGTTCAGGCAAAGGTGTGCATGCTGCTACTATAAAGATCCATGAACTTGAAAAATGCCACTTCATCCAATCAGAAATGAGGAGACAAACACCAACCCTCTACTTTTAGGGATACATGTATCAAGATGGTAATAGTCAAAGGCATAGTGAAGTAGCTTAGTATTAGGAACTAACTCCATACAAGGGAATTAAAAACCTGAATCAAAAGCCTCTAGTGCCCTGGAAAAGCAATTAACTGCTTTATTTAAAAACAATTATATTCTGAGTTTTTTTCCACTTACTGAAGTATTAATGGCTAATAAATACCAAAATAATAGTCCTGTAAAATCTAATAATGTGAATCAGGGGTGGCCAATAATCTGAGAGGGGGGAACACTTCATCCATTTCAGAAGTGATTGCGGCCTGTCCCAGAAGGGGTGGGGCCTTGGGTAAAAGGAGCTGGGCCAGGAGACTTTGCATGCTCCCCCACCCACAGACCTTGACTAACCTGGGGGCAGGGAGCACATGAAGTCTTTGTCTCACACTCCCTGCCCTACCAGGGGTACATGGAACCCTAGAGAGAGCCACCAGCTGTTCTGAATAGCTGGTGGTTCCCTCTGGTGCTGCACGCCCTGGCCGGGGAGACGAGATTGCACACACTCTTGCACTCCCAGGTCTTGACTGGCCTGTGGGCGGCACAGAGGCCAGATCAACCGGCTTAGTGAGCCAGATCTGGCCTGGATGGGCTGTCTTGCCCTCCCCTGATGTGGGTTCATATCTGAAACAAGTTTTCTTGTTAGATCTGAGTGAAAAACTCAAATATTTCAATTATTTCAAAACTGTCATCTAAATCTTTGGCCAACAAACAATATAGGTTTCTTTTTCTAATATGCACCACACTGCTGCTAGCTAGGCCATATAAAGATCTGTATGGAACAATAGAAGGTATGTTCTCTCCTAACAGTGAAGCATTTACCCATGCAACACCCCCAAGACCTTCTGGCCCAGAGAATAAGTCCTAAGTGGCAGTGCAAAGCACTAACTAAAAAATGACTGAGTTAGCTCAAAACAATATTTTAATTATAATTTTGATTCCTATCCCATATGCACAGAAGAACTCAGTACAGATGATTACTTTGAACGAGTTAGGACAAGCTTCTTAAACAACCAAAATTCACCAATTTCTTTTAACAATACTATCAATTTAAATACAGAATACCAAATCAACACTAATTTTCAATTTACTTGGCCCTCTTGTGAATGAATTAAAGAAATAAGCAACTAGTGTACAGATGTAGAACTGATCTGATTATATTCTAATTAGTTGGATTAATTATAATATATAAGCACATACAGCTTCAGTGTCAAGACATATGGCAAATCTTGGTTTATTTCTTCAAACAATTCAAGATTAGTCCCCTTGGTCTTACCTAATCGATGGAAATTCCAGTCACCATTATTAATGATAAATAACTCCGTTCATTGAATCAGTTATTGTAGTACCAATGGTTAGTTCTAGTATGCAACAATCCAGAAGAATCATTTAAGTTTTCCAAACATGCTATTTCATGGGAAATTAACTGCCCTATCTTTCACTACTGAGTCTCACTGAATTTTTAAAAATATGCTTCACTACTGAAGTATTATTCATTGCACCCTTGGATTGCCAAACAATCCAGTTAACTGGAATAGTTCTTTCATAATAATTCAAGTTAAGTTTAGGATAGGGATGTTAAAAAGTGTTGAGACTTATTTTGTGCTGAAGGGATGGGAACTCAGACAGAAGGGGCAGGGCTGAGGGGCTAACCATAGCTTGCCTCAGCAAGCCAGGAGTTCACCCGCTGCCCATGACCAAGAGTGAAAATTATGGATTCATGATACATTAGGAAAGGTTACAAGCTCCATTTTGGGTAGCCCCCATAACTAATCTCTTTAGGTCACTTGGAAGAGGTTGGTGCAGATAGATGTTCTGGGCTCAATTAATGGTTATAAAATGGTATGAGAGCCTAAGATGAAAGGAACTAGAGAAGTGCCATTATAATGTTATAATTCATACCATCAGAGTAGCTTGATCCCATTACTGTACATCCCAGACTACTATTCATCACCATGTGATTTAAGTTAGATATATAATTATAGCATGGAGGTCACCACTGTCACAGAACCTGTGAATTCTGCCATTCATGTACTGCCATTTATGTGCTTTAACAGTTTGTTAGTCTGCTTTGATCAGCTGCCATGCATTAGCAATTTGCTAGTTTGCTCTGATCTAATTACAATTTCAAAGAGGACTAGATGAAAGTAAACTAACCAACTGTTAACATGCAGCAGCAGGGTCCACAAGGTTCCCATTATCATATTGTGAAATTATCTATTTCTTGCCAAAATTGTGCTGTGAATTATTCATAATATTACTATGACAAAAATGCATCTATAGATTTAATATAAAAACATATCAGATGCACACACCGTTTTTAGCTTACTACTTTCCTTTGAGATTAACAACAGATTTTTTAAAAGATACTTACTACATTGTAACAAGCAAGAAATTTTCCCAGACAGACTGATGAACTGACAAACTGATGAACTGACAAACTCAATTATTTTCCAAATGGCATGACTTTTGGCAAACAATGAACCATCCGACATATAAAGCAATAAGCATCCAACCATGCTAGGAATAATAATTCAAGATAAGTCAGCATCATTAGTCTATGCTGATCATTAGTCTTCAAGAAACTGGTCATTAAGTTCAACAAAAGCTGCTTTATGACAACTGGATCACCACTACAAGTCCTTTCATTCTCTTTTCTGCCACTCATCATAATCAATTGTATTTATTCCACCCTCAAGGCTGCAGCTAATATACCACAAGGGACCAGTGTGATCATCAAATCTGATCTGGCCATTAAACTTCCCCAAAGTAATTCTTAAAACATAGAATACTAGAACTAGAAGGGACCTCAAGAAGTCATCGAGTGCAGTCCCCTGCCCTCATAGCAGGACTCAGTTCCGTTGGACCATCCCTGATAGATGTCTATCTAACCTGCTCTTAAATATCTTCAGAGATGGAGATTCCACAACCTCCCTAAGCAACTTATTCGAGTGTTTAACTACCCTGACAGTAAGGAAATTTTTTCCTAATGTCCAACCTAAACCTCCCTTGCTGCAGTTTAAGCTCATTGCTTCTTGCCCTATCCTCAGAGGCCAAGGAGAACAGTTTTTCTCCCTCCTTCTTGTAACACCCTTTTAGATACTTGAAAACTTATGTCCCCTCTCAGTCTTCTCTTTTCGAAGCTAAACAAACCCAGTTATTTCTGCCTTCCCTCATGGGTCATGTTTTCTAGACCTTTAGCCATTTTTGTTGCACTTCTCTGGACTGTCTCCAATTTCTCCACATCTTTCCTGCAATGTGGCACCCTGAACTCTACACAATACTCCAATTGAGGCCTAATCAGTGCAGAATAGAGTAGAAGAAGGGTTTTGCTCACAACACTCCTGTTAATGCATCCCAGAATCATGTTTGCTTCTTTTGTAACAGTGTTATACTGCTGACTCATATTTACCCTGTGGTCTATTATGACCCCATGATCCCTGTCTGCAGTACTCCTTCCTAGGTAGTCACTTCTCACATCGTATACGTAAAACTGATTGTTCCTTCCTATGTGGAGTACTTTGCATTTGTTCTTATTAAACTTCATCTTATTTACCTCAGATCATTTCTCCAGTTTGTCCTGATCCTTTTGAATTATGAACCTATCCCTCCAAATATCAGAGGGGTAGCCGTGTTAGTCTGAATCTGCAAAAGCGGCGAGGAGTACTGTGGTACTTTATAGACTAACTGAAGTGTAGGAGCATAAGCTTTCGAGGGCAAAGACCCACTTTGTCAGATCCCTCCAAAGCAGTTCAACCCCTCCCAGCTCCAGATCATCTGCAAACTTTCTCAGTGTACTCTCTATGCCAATATCTAAATCATTGATTAAGATAGATAACAGAACAGGTTCCAAAACTGACCCCTGCAGAAGCCAACTTGTTATGCCCTTCCAGCATGACTGTGAACCATTAATAACTACTCTGAGAATGGCATCAAAATTCCACGTTATGCCTAGTATATAGTTAAAAATTAGAGTGTCATAGCTAAGGGCTGTGGAAAGCTTCATGCCCACAACACCACAGTTAGGTCAACCAAACCCTCTATGTAAAGGTGGTTATATTCTTCCATTGACCTTTCTGCCAACCTAGCTACAGCCTCAGGGACATGTGAATTAAAGTATTCACAGAAAAAAAAAGTAAGCAGTAGCTTTGCTACAGCACTATATTGGCAGTACTGCTAACCTATAGAATACGTGTACCCATAAATTCTTAGGATGTAGAAATAAAAGATCATCATGGTAGATTGGGTCAGGATAAAGTAATGCCAAGATCCTATAAATATCCATGTTGCTTGGTTTAGTGAGCTTTGTGGGTGCTCTGGTTCATTCTCCTGCACTACTACTTCTACACTGCTCATGCACATTGATCAACTATTAGCTTAGCTTCTGATCTCCACTGTACCTGCCTACACTTTCAACTTCAATGGTATGTCAGGGGAAAGATTGATCCTCTATCACCTAACCACAGGTCTTCAGGAAGGGGTCTAAGTATGCTGAATTAAGCAATTCTCTAATTTAGTAATGTTACCAGAGGGAGTTCTTGAAGTGTATTATGTTTTAACAACTATATGCTTTTTGATGTTTGTTACTCTTCTACTTATTTCAATAAAGGTTTTAAGGAATAGTTACTGTCCTCTATTTAAGTCTTCTAGGATAGAACCCTCTGGATTCTCTCTCTGTAGCCTGGTTTGGGATAACAATTAAGTATCTTCTGGTCAAATATGGCCAAGGTTCAGGTCTACATTATATAAAATGTACAGGGTCATGGATAGACAATATGGGAGAAACTGACTGGGCACTGAAGTACAGAAGCAGGATGAGTTTATTTAGTGCACCTCTACTTAGTAACCCAATGAGATGCACACAAATCAATCAAAGATGATAGCCTCTGCCATTACAGCTCCCCTATCCTCTCATATCATGGGACAAAAAGTAAAAAGTCAAGTATCGTTCAACCACATCTATGTTTGTAAGTTGCTAAAGTGAAAGAATATGTAGGAACATCTTTAGTTAATTATTACAAAATAAGTAACAGTACATAAAAATAGCTGTATCATAAGATGTCTCAGTAAAATGTATTTTTCAAAAAAGTTCCAATAATTTATGGCAGGCAGAACAGAGATGGCATGTTTAGTATGGAACAATCTGGATCAAGATTTACTTCTCTGCCTCATCCCAATAGGGAAACAGTGGTCTGTTAACATATATTAAGTCCTTGAAATATGAGCAACCACAACTGTACACCCTTAGCATGACCAGTTAAAATTAAATGAAACTAAAATTATTCAATATTCATACAACAAAAATATTTCACTCACAGAACAACTGTTTTTCACACCTAGTGGGAAAGCAACAACATCATACCTTATGGCTTCTTCTACAGACTGGCCAACTATATTTGATGATGGGCCTGGCTGTGACAAAGGTGTCAAGCTAATCACCCACTTCACTGGTTTATAATACTCATCACTGGAACTTAACAGATAAAACAGCGTGGTCAGGAAAATCACCTGTAAAACAAATCACAATTTAAAAAAAATAATTAAACATGCTGATACAGGAAACCCCCACATTATGACAGCCCGAGTTGCAACCCCCTGCACTTACGACCACTTTTATAAGTGTGGAAAGGGCCAAAACCCCCGACTTACATCCTCAGCCTGCATCTGTGACAGTACACAGCGCCTACTGTAAATGCTGATTCGAGTTATAACGCCCCCAACTTGCGACACTTCCCCAAGAACCAATTGCGTTGCAAGTCAGGGGCTGCCTGCAATAGCATACAAATATATTTCAGATGATTTAATATAATTGGGGAACACAAAAAATGCTACTAGACACACAGACTTCGAGAAATGCATGGCAAGTCATACAGAGGACACATCTGAAAGTAAACCTTCTCTTTGAAAAAGCAACAGTTGTCTTGGCTTAAAAAAGAAACCCAAAAAACAGCCCTGACTGTTGCCACAGCCTTACAGTTCCTGGGCCAGAACTTGGAGTAGTGGGTGGCCCTGGCTTCTCCCCAACCCTTTCCATGCCACTACAGAGACTGTCCCTGAGTAGGGAGGACCAGGACTACAGAGTTTCACCCCATGTTATGGACTATCCTGTGATGAGTGTGGCTCAGTAGGCTGTGGATCTTCCCTTTAGAAAAAGAAGAGGCTATTCCGGCTGAACACTATCTGCCAGAAGCACAGGTCACTCAGGCACAGCCAGAACTCTGCCACAATATTCTGAAAAATTTCAGAATCACTTTAACCACCAAAGAAGCAGTAACATATAGCTCTATTAATTTCAATTGTGGATCAACAAAAGAAGAGAGAGAGAGGACACTGAAGATAACCAGATAAGCTAATCTTTGCATTTTATAGAGCACTTAGTTGAATTTTTAAATTAAGAAATCACTGTGTAAAAATTAAACTTCTAAGTCATAATTGAGGCAGTAAGAAAAGGGACTGGCGAGAAGATTCTGTACTAAAATATATAACCTAGCCCTATATATTAGTATACTTTAATTGTGTGCGAGACAGCTCTGTACACTGCAAATCATTTCTACTCCTGCTGTTCACTGAGTTACTTTCTGTCCAGGGGTTTTACTGCTGACTTTTTTAATCTGTGTTGAAAATGTCCATATTCCCCAACTGAATTGTAGGTCTCTTTCTGACAAATGGCACTTGTATTTTCCTGTTCTGCAGTAAAAATGAGTTGAACCAATTTTATTCACTGTTGTTCTGCAGATAGTGTGTAAATTCAATTCTACTTAAAACAGTAACAAAACAGTCAGCCTGTGTCACTGATTAGAGGATCAAAATCAGCCTTGGTTTGAGAGAATACTGCTAAAAAAAAAAGAGCCGTTCCTATTTGCACTAAGTTGAATTGCCGATAAACCCAGAGGAATATTGAGTTAAATGAAGACAATTGGTCTATTTCAGAGGTGGGGAACCTAAGGTCCGGGGGGCTGGATCCAGGCAAGGGAGGGGGAGAGAGAAGGGCACACACATCTGGCCCCAAGACTTGGGGCTCCTCCCAGCTTTGGGGAGCCTGAGCTGGTGCTCCAGTCCTCCATTATCCCCCTGTGGAACTGGAGCACACAAAATCTACTAATCCGCCCTCCCCTGCACAGGCTCTGGTGTGTGAGAGGAATGTGGTGAGTGTCTTTCTCCTTCTTAATTAGGGGCCAAATCAGTGAGGGGGGTTGTTTTATTTTATTTGCGCTTCTCATTTGTGTGTAGCCCCCAATTGATTTTTCTGTGGGTCAGAGGTGCTCAACACAAAAAAGGTTCCCCACACCTGGTCTATTTGGACATAAGCAGTGAGGATTTTATTTAAAACGAAGGTATTATGAGGGATACAGCTGGAGAGATGCTGCACCAGGCCAGCAGCTCAGTAATTGCATTAGCAGCTCAGTAATCTTAACAGAAAGCAAAGATTATTAAGATAAGACCAATATAACCAACCCCTCTGACACTGTAAATCTTGGCTCTGATGGCATATGTGCTAAGAGGAAACAAGATATAGTTAATACCAGATTGAGTGGTGCCAAAGTGATTGGTACCAGAACCAATGGGCCAATCCGCACTAGAGAAAACCCATGGGGTGATACTTAAGTCTCTACACACAAGCCAGAGATAGAATGACTTCATCAGCAGCACAGGTATAAACTTCATGTTTCTGCAGACACCAGAAAAATGCTTGATAAAGCCTTCAGTTGTCCTTTTTTTCCTGGTTGAAAGGGGAGATGTCTTTCATGTAAATTGTCATCTACGCTCTTTGGATGAAAAATGCTGAACTCTTCTCCTTTCTGGATGGGAGGGAGAGGGCGGGGGGAGGACAACAGTAGAAGGCTTTGATTAGGTAGCAGCCCTGGAAGCTAACACAAGCAGTTACTGCTGAAACACGTTTTGCAGAACACTGCTTGGACCCAGAAGGAGCTTGCTCTCCAGGATTGTAGGCAGGCCTTAGGCATATCTAGGGTGAAGAGCTTTAATTGAATATCTTGTGATTTTAAAATTGGTTTTGAAAACAAATTTCTGGGTGATGTGTTCCTCAGAGAAGAAATAAACTCTGCATCCATCATACAGGGGAAGCAAGACATACTTAAACCCAGGAGATTTTCCTTCGGCCATGAAGCTGAAGCCCCAATACTGGGTGAAGAGAGAAAATTCAACTAAAATTTATAAAACAAACATACAAACTACTGAACTAGTCTTAAACAATGCTAAAGAGAACTATATATAAATACTAGTATAGAAATACAAATTTTGGCAAGGGTATTGTGCCTGGGTTCCTGGACATGATAGAAGATTGTGATTGGGTGGAAGAGTGATTGGTGCAAAGGCAGACATCCTGCTAAAGAAAGAGTACAAAAGGGTCGTCTGGGCCATGAAGAGGCTATGAGAATAACTGTGGCTCCATCCCTCTGTATTTTTTGTACTACTCAGCAGAGTGGGGATATTGGTGGAAAGGCATAAAAGAGACCATAATCCCATTTTATTAGAGTGCATCTCCCAAAAATTGTTCGCCCTTTCCAGCTCTGGAGCAGAAGTCTGGCACTTCTTGTTGCTGTGAGTGGCAAAAAGATTGATCCTGGGGTGATTTACAGATTGAAGATTGGGTTGATAATAGCAGTGCTTATCTCTCATTCATGTCCTCAAGGAAGAGCTCTGCTGTGTGTGTCTGCAGTAGCATTGAGAACATCTGGAAGGTGAAAGGCAGATATTGTTATTCTGTGCTGGAGGTACCAGTTCCAGAATGTCATGGAATCTGTGCAGAGGGTGTGGGATCAAGCACTCTCTTGTCTATTTATATAAAATAGTTGCCAGTGTAGACTCTGACATGCTTGTTGCTGATGAAAGGAGGAAATTGGCTGCCAATGTATGGAACTGCCTGGAGCTCAGTATGTATATGTATGTAGTGCTCTTTCTGCGGTGGACTATAGACCCTGAGTGATATGGTCCTGCAGGTATACTCCCCATCCAGTAAGGGAGGCATCTGTGATGATAGTCACAGAGGGATCTTGTCATGTGAACAGGATCATTGACCAAAGGTTGCAAACATGTGTCCATGTGAGAAACTGTTTGACCGATGATGGGTTTGGGTGGAGGTGGAAAGGACCTTGGTGAATGCGTATGTTCGGCCTGTAAACTGTACTAAGCCATTCCAGTAAGCACTGCACAGAGATGTGTGCATTCGGGACAACCACATTACAGGTGGCTGTGTGTCTGAATAGTTGGGAGACAATAGTGGACCGTAACCTGGGAACTGCACTTCATCGTTTCTGAATCTGTTGCGTGGCAGAGAAACAGTCACAGTTGTTGCATTGAGTTCAGCTCCTATTAAATGTACCTTTTGTGTTGGGAGTGAAAGTTGATTTTGTTTTATTTGTAGGCTGAGAGAGTGGAAGCATCAGATGATGATGAAAGTATTTCATTGAGAGTCCCTTCATGGATTGTGTCTTCAGGAGGTCATCATCCAGATAAGGAAAAATAATGATGTGCTTCTTTGAGACGCAAAATCACTACCACCAGGATTTTGGAAAAAAGACTTGGTACAGTAGAGGCCAAAAGGTAAGACCTTGTACTGATAGTGATTGGGACCTAGGATAAATCAGAGAAAATGTTTATGAGCTAGTTGTATGGAAACATGAAAACAAATGTCTGAAAGATGGAGGGATGAAAACCAACCTCCTTGTCCAGCTCTGAGATAATTGGTGTGAGGGTCACCATTTTAAACTTCAGCTTTTTCACATATTTGTTGGGGAGCTCTGAGGTCAAGAATTGGGCACCATCCCCCACTCTTCTTTTCTAAGTGAAACTAATAAGACTAGAACCCTTTGTATTGGGTCAGAACGGGTTCTGTGGCTCTCAGTTGGACAGGTTGTGAGAGTGGTCCCTGAAGAGGGACAAGTTGGGGGGTGAAGGAGATGGTGTAGCTTAATTCTACTGTCTGCAACATCCATTTATCTGAGGTTATGGCTTGTCAATTTCCACAGAATGCAAGGACATCATAATTGAATAATTTAGGAGAGAGCAATGGAGCTGGAGACTGAGAGCCGTTTTCCAAACTCTTGACTAATTCCTCAAATCTGTTTCTTAAATTTGAGGGGACTGAGGCGCAGTGTCTGAGGATAGACACTGACGTTGAGACATCTTTCTGTTTTGCTGGCATTGATGCTGGTCATGTGATCTTTGTGGTTGTTGTGAGTATGTATGCAGGATACCATGGCGTGGGGATGGCTGATATCTATACTATCTATGTCTAAGTGCTGATGTGTGGACTCCGAAGGATCAAAGTATGGCCCTGGAGTCCTTCATAGCATGGAGGACCTCACTGGTGTTTATGGTGAAGAGTTTCTCTCCATCAAATGGGAGATCCTCCACCATGGACTGTATCTCACGTGGGAAGTCAAAAGTTGAATCACGATGATCACCTCATGAATTCTGTTGTAGCTATGGATCTTACTGCTGTGTCAGTGGCATTAAAAGAAGCATATAGAGAGATGTGTGAAATT